TTTTGGCTTGCATCCTGAGTGGAAGGGCCTAGGTTCAAGTCCTGGTTCTGCTTCCAATTCTTAGTTTCCTGCTAATGCCCACCCTGGAAGGCAACAAGCACTAGCTCCTGTGCTTGGGCCTGACATCCACCTGGGAATCCCAGTATAGCCTGGCCCAGCCCGGACTGTTGGCAGATATTTGGGAAATAAACACTGGGTTGAAGGTCTCTTTTTCTCTGTTTCCAAGTAAATAAAAATTGGAAACAAACAAGAAATCCTTTTTTTTAAAAAAAAAATTATTTTGTTTGTATTGGCAAGTCAGACTTACAGGGATCAGGAAATGTCTTCCATCTGCTGGTTCGCTCCCCAAGTGGCCACAACAGCCAGAGCTGAGTCAACCTGAAGCCAGGAGTCATGAGCTTCTTCCAGGTCTCCCATGCGGTTGCAGAGTCCCAAGACTTTGGGCCATCCTCAGCTGCTTTCCCAGGCTACAAGCAGGGAACCAGAAGGAATGTGGAACAGCTAGGATATGAAATGGGGCCCATATGGGATCCCAGCACATGCAAGGTGGGGACTTTGGATACTAGGCTACCGTGCTGGGCCCCCAAGCAAGAAATCCTAAGAAAGTGATGTGCAGAGCTTCTGGTTGGTGAGAAGGGGATGTGCCAAGAGGGCCCATAGCTGCAGGCCCTCCCCATGCACCTAGCCCCATGCATTGCCTCTGTCTGGTCACTCATCTGTATCCTCTTGCTTGCGATAAACAGTAATTCTCAGTTCTTGGTCATTCTTGTGAGTTATGGACTCTTACAGAGGGGTCATGGGAATGCCCAAGTTTGTGATGTACACATGTGCAGGGGGCCTGCAGACCACCACCAACACCCCCCTTTTTGGCTGTTTTTTTTTAAGATTATTCATTTTTGTTTGAAAGGCAGATCAGATTTACACAGAGAGGAGAAACAGAGAGAAACATCTTCCATCTACTGATTCACTCCCCGATTTGCAATGGCTGGAGCTGAGCCAATCCAAAGCCAGAAGCCAGGAGGAGGAGCTTCTCCTGGGTCTCCCGCATGGGACCTGCTCCCAAGCTTTGGACCATCCTTCACTGCCTTTCCAATCCACAAGGAGGGAACTGAATGGGAAGTGGAGCAGCTGGGACATGAACCGGCACCTATATGGGATGCCATGCCTGCAAGGTGAAGATTTAGCCACTGAGTCATCACGTGAGGCCCTGTGGACCCCCTTTGTGGTTGGCATTTTGGGTGAGAGCAGTCCTGTGGGGCATCTGCCACCACCGAGAGGTGCCACAGGCCTGGTCCCCTTGTCACTGGAAATGCTAAACAAAGCTGTCAGCGGGGACTCTGATGTGGGTGCTCTCACCACCCCCCTCTCATTATCACTGTTAGGCTGAGCCACATGACAGTGCGTTTTTTTTCTAGGTCAAAACAGTTGAGTAACAGCAATCTCATGAGTCAACCTATCGCAAGCTCCTGAACACTTCTCCGAGGTGTGGGAGGCACACGCTAAGGGCACTGTCTGTTTCCCCTCACAGTCCCCTCCAGTCCTCCTGAGGTGGGCGTTGCTCTTATTCCAGCTTTCACAGGAGGACACAGAGGCTTACGTGTTGCCACCAGGACCCGGCACCTAAGGCTCGTGAGGGTCCCCAGTGGAGCTCAGGCTGCCTCACAGCTGATCCTGCATGTGTCAATGTGCTGAGGCAGTGTCACCTACTGACTGACTGGAGGTCGTAGCAGCCTGTTCCCAGCAGTTCCTGGTTTTCAGAGGTCCCAGGCTAGGATTTGGAATCCAAGGTTGCAGCAGCTAAGAGTGACAATCTGCCCCCTGCCTCTTGCCTGCCTTTTGGCCGTCGGTGTGATTTCTTGTTGTTCTCAGCCTGCAGCCATGACACCCCAGTCCCTGCCCCTGCTGTTATGTGTCATCAGCTTCCTGTGCACCTGTGTCTCTTCTCTGAGGGACACCAAGTGATTGGATTGGGGCTATTTCTACTCCAGCATGACATCTTCTTGATTCCACCAGCAAAGACCCTTCTTTCCAGACAGGACACCAATACTAGGAATTCAACATGTGTGTGTGTGTGTGCTGTGAGGTCAGAGGCACCATTCAATCCATAACACCAAGCCCTTAAACAGGAACTCCATGGCTGCAAAATGCTGGGCTACCAGCCTGAATGTGTGCCTCACTGGATTTCTGGGCCACTCAAATGAACTTAGCTGCCCAGGGAGATGGTACATAGGCTGATGGGAGGGCCAGGAGGGTGGGACCAGGCTCAGCTTCTGCCCAGGGGGAGGGGAGGCCTGCAGTGTGGTGTCCAGGTGGACCACCCAGGCCGTGGGGGTGAGGCAAGCGGCATTTTTCAAGACTGCTACACTTATGCATCTCTCCCAGCAGCATGGTTTCAATCACCTTGACAAGAAAAGCTCCAGCTTAGAACCTGGGCTTGAAGATGCTTTATTTTTCTTGCTAATCAATGAATTCTCTTGCTTTTGCTTTGTGGTAACAAAGATTTCAACAGATGCTGTCACAATGGTGGTTGGCAGCTGCTGGACGACAGTGCATGAATTCTCTCCAGAGAAGGAACAAATGAGATGGGAAATAATTACTGTGTGAGCAGGTTTGCAAGGGAGGGTGCACGTTTCCCAAGCTCTCCCAGACAGCTGAGCTGGAAAATGGGTGCAGGCCCCAGGAGAAGTCCTATTAAATAGCAGCTAGACTGTACCTTGACATTTCTAGGGGGAGCTGGGAAGGGCAGGGCATGTCCTCCTTGACCTCAACCTGCCCAAGAGCAGGTCCTGGCTGGCTGGCTGGAGTTCAGCACCTCAGGGAGCAGACAGGACTGGTTTCTTTGAACAGACTGATAGAAGCTGGTCCTGTCTCGTCTTTTTGCTACATCTGAACAGTTTCATTGGAAGGAATCTGTATCCATTTGGTGATACCAGCAATGCTTTTGGCTTTTTTCCCCTCAAGGTTCTCATGAGACACAGCCTGTGCATTTAAGCAATCTGTGCTTCTGGGGCCAAGCAGACAAAATTGCCTAACAACAGTTTCCAGGTTCCACTTGGGAAGAAACTTTCCTTTGGTTGTTTTAACAATGGATTCAGTTACTAGAAACCCGAGTGTACAATTCAGGACTCCATGTGCTATCTGTTAACGCTGCCCTTCACCTTGTGGGCCTCTGCCGCAGGGCTGGCCACACAGACTTTTTCTTGGGGCTTCCTGAGGTTTCTCCGGATGATTCAGCCTGGGTATTAGGTCCAGGCGGGGGAGGAGGAAGCTACCCTCCTGTCTGTACTCTGCCACCTTTCCTGGTTTCTTCTGTGGCTGCTCCCTTGTTTGGATCCCTGGATCTTTTCTCTCCCTGTGCTTTTCTGTGTTTGTTCACCTCAAGCCTCTAGGCGAGGACCTCCAGACAAGGATCTTGCTTCCTGCCTGTCACAGCTGGATACCTACCTGCCTGCCAGTTATTGTCACCCGGCAGCTCACTGCTTCTGAACTTGGCTCTTCCTACTTGGGACAACTGACATCTTAGGCATGCGCCAGCTGACGGGTGGTTAGCTCTATGCAAGCAGCTGGTTAGCCTGAGCCCCTGCTGCCGCTCTCTTGCAGGCTGTTTGGCTTAGCCCTCAGCGCCACTGCTGCAGACCTTCCCTCCTCACTGTTCTCCCCACCTGCATCTGGAAATCCTCTTTATCCCAGCTTCACTGGCCCCATCAACTCACAATTCTCGTGCTCAGTGCTTTCCTGCCAGAATACTTTCTAGAGCATCCATCATTTTTATCAAATGAAGGCCCCACTCCATTCATAGATGCAATCTTTTTCCCATTCTAGATTTTAGCCACAGAGCCTGTGAGTCTTCCTGTACCCTGGGATCTTCAAGCTCCTGACTCCATTGGTTGAGCCATCAGCCTCCCAGGCTTGTCTCAACCGCCGCCTGTCTCCTACCAACCTTGCAGAGACGCCGGTACCCTCTGAACTTAGCCTATGGCACGTGCATCCGAGGTATATGCTTGTGTCCCTATGAGTTCTTGTCCACTGTCTGCTGTGAATGACAACTCTGTGTACACCAGCTCTGAGCCCAGGCCACTTCTGCCGCATGGTAGCCTTGTCCTCCCTACTCCTCTTTAATCAGACACAGGCAATGAATCTGGCATGGAAAGAATTACTCCTCCCGAAACCTTGCTGATTTTGTATTTTGTTGGAGGAAAAAGCAAATTTCCAAGATTCAGGTCAACATCAATTTAGAAATACTTCTGCCAGCTGGAAAAGAAAACTTTGAAAAAGATATTTAACTTGAGGAAAAAAAATTGAAAGCTATAGCTTTTCAAGGAAACAGGATACTTTAACACACACACACACACACACACACACACTCGACACAAAAAAAGCAGCCTGGCTTTATGTGGCTCAATCCTGTCAGGCTTATCTAATCTTTTGTGACAGAGCTGCAGACCTGTAGATCAAGGGGAAAAACAATAGTTGGAATTTATTTTTTCTGGCTTTGAAAACTTTTGATTCCTGGGTCACACTCAATATGATTATCATTAAACTAATTGAAAGGCTAGAGAAGACAGAGCCTGTTCTGGCGGGGGTGTGGTGGTGGTGGTGGAATGGCAGCCGGGCTCCCCAGGGGGATCAGCTCTGAGCCCAGTGGCCCTGAACACTCACATGCATGGCCAGACGACAGAAAAGAGACTCAAAGTCAGCATTAATGTCAAGGTGGGGGTGGGGCTGAGTATCAATGAACAACCAGCCAGAAAAGTAGTTTTGGCAATTACATGAGTTTCTCAACATAAGGATGCAGGCTCTATCAGAAGATGTTTCCTACCACCACACATACACGCATACCACAGCATTGTAGCATAATATTAAGGACAGGAGACACTCATAGAAAATCCCACAGTTCTAAACTTGTATCAGTTGTATGCCTTGCCAAACTGCACAGCTCAAGATAGGAAAGACAATTTGGCTGGTATGTGGCAATGAAAAAGTCCTACAAAGAGAATTACATGAAATAGTTTATTGAACTTGGATATGGATAACTTTATTAGGGCAGTGACAAAAATATAGAAACAGACTTCAATTACAATACATGAGAATGAAACAAAATGATTTGGTGTTGATCAACTGTTGTAAAATGTGCCTAATTCTTCCAGGATGGTTTGTATGTGCTCCAGGCCAACTGGAAGCAGCCCTGGGTACTGTCTGTTCCCACTCCACAATGTTAGGGGACTGCTTCAAAGTACTTACTTCCATAATTGAAAATTAAGCGAGACTCAACTCTTCAATTGTTACTATGGCCTTGAGGTTTGGTTATCATTTATAACTGGTCCTTAACACCAGTGCCGGTCACCAGCCAGGGCACTTCCTGCATGTGGGTGCAGTGGGGATGGATCTGTGATGCAGCCCCCTGAATGCACAGGCAGTGGCAGTCTTTCTGCTTTCCTGTGCTGAGTGAAGCAAGCCTATGATCAACGCCTCCAATGCAGGCAGGTTGTAACATTGGAAAGCTGAGTGCATGACACCCTAGATTGTTACTATCTGTTCCCAGACACTGTCCCAGCTAAACCCATTTTCCTTTTCCCAAGGCAAGATAGGGTATGACAAAGACACAATGTGATAATTTTCTGTCCAACACTGTCAATAATCACACAGTCAGGAGCTTGTAAGTTAATTCTTTAAATTTAATCAGTCCTTTATAAAACTTCCCAATTAGTAAAAGTTGGCGTATTTAATAGCCTTACACATTACTCACTAAACAAGACATTCTAAAAAAAAAATCACATAATAGTTTATAGTAATTTACAGGTGAATGGTATACATTTAGATACAGAGGTAGAAGTTCACTTTTACAATGTTTCACTAATACACATATACCAAATTCAAGGCACAAAATAGTTTGCTTTACAAAAAAATACTGTAAAAATGTCATCTGCTGTTCTAAAACGTGAATAAACCTTTCCAAAGAATCTTTATACCCTTCCACACATACTCCACAGGATGAGACCTCTCCCCTCACTAATCATGGTTGGCACAGAAACGGGGACTTTTCACTGTTGAAGTTCCCAGTTCTAGAAACTGTTTCTCTGCAGAGCTGCTACGTATTCTAGTTAAGAGTCCATTCAAAGAAAGGAAACAGCAGCTTCCTGAGGAAAGGGCACTTTCTGTATGCAGCAAAATTCATAGGTAGAAAAACGTATGAGCTTTTTGGATAACTAGGTCTCCAGATACTTCATCAAGCATTTCAGAGAGAAAAGTAAAAATCCAGCTAACCCTTTAGTCACTGTGACTTGGAGACCTGATGGCCTTCATTCAGGCACCATCCATTGTGAATCAGTAGAGATTTCAAAATTCCTTTTCAAAAGAGCTGAGCACAAAAATACCAGGAGAACGCCACACAGGCTTTACAAAACTGCAACTCGGGGAACGGGAGAGAGTACAGCACTCTCAGTCCTTGACGTCACAAGGCTGTCAACTGGCTAGAGGCTAACAAGAATGAGGACTCTATGGTCGTTTAAAAAAACCACTCAAGTGAAACATACTGTAGTTACCACTTCTAGAATTTCTGTTCATTAGTCAAAGAATGATAGCCCAAAGCTGCCGCAGAGTGCCTGTGTGTAAAGACCGTTCAGTCTAAAAGGACGCTATCGGCAAGAACCTAAGCTCACCTGTACTGATCACATTTTTTGAGTACTCTAGTCAGTTAATTTACACTTTATTATTATTATTTTTTAAAAGTTGATTAAAAAAGTCAACACAGGATTAGAATCCAGAGAATGTCAGTATCGCTGATGTGCACTGGACTGTGACATCTTGATCGTCTTCTAATAGAAATGATACTCCATACAAAAGATTCTTAGATTCCATTTTTTGCTTCATTATTGTTTGTGGCTTGCTTTCTTTGAGCAATAAAGGGGTACATACACTTGTCTGCTCCTAGGAACCGATACATGCACACAACTGCTTCAAAAGGAAGGATACTGGAAAGGAAACACACCATTATTAGCAAACTGGAGGTGCCACATTGCTCAAGCTACCTGGACAGGGAGAGAAGGAACCCTCTCATTACCTCTTCATGAAGGTCACAATGTACATGAGGCGGGGGGTGCAGATCATGGGCTGGTCGGTGAGAATGGCCTTCATGGCCTGCTTCACACAGTAATCAGGCTTCAGAGGGGGCAGAAAAGGCTCGATTTCTTTCCTATAAGTTACAAGTACAAAAATGAAATGAAGAATTAACATGGCAGGAAAGATACTGGAAATACACATTAGAAACATTGACTGTGACATCACCTGGGATGAGATTTGGGGTGCATCTTGTTTTCTGCCTGTTCTTGCTTTTTCATATTTTCCTGCTAAGAATACATTCTATTTGTACAAGGAAAGAATAAAAGTGCTCTTTCACAGAGTCAAGAAAGCCATCTTTATGTTAATTTTCTTCTTATTGTTTCCAACATTAAAAAAAAAAAAAGAGAGACAGGGTGTTTGGGACAGCAAACGCTAAACTTAGACTGGAGGCCAAGCTCTTAGTAAGAAGTGTAGTTAAAATGGATTACATAAATACTACCACAGTCTCTTAAAGGTAAGTCAGCTATATACTGACTTAGCCCATGCTGTCCGACTTAGGAAAGCTGAGAAATGGTGTCTATCAGCAAGAGCATAAAGACATCTTACCTTTAGTTTAATCCATCCAAATTATATGTTAAAAATGATGCAGTAATACATTTATTCATTTTACCTTTCACTGTCCCACCAAAGCTTTGGACTCCCACACCTGTTGCTAGGCAAAAGAGGACACAGAGCTCCTCAAATCCCTCAGCAACTGGTTCTTGGGCAAATATGAGGGGGAGACAACCGGCCTGGCATGTGCATGCACCTGTGTGGACTGGAGGCAAAGCTGAAGCTCCTCTAGAACCCAGACTTGAGCCCAGCCTCAGACTGGGAGGACTCCACTCTCCTTCCTCCCTCCACTGCCAGGGGCTGTTCAGTTCAGGGTGTGCTGAGAATGGCCTCTGAGCAACAGAGAACTGGTTTGGTTATCTTCCTTTGCCTCTCAAATTCACCCAAGCAAAGCTCTCAAAGTAAGCATGTCTTCACAAGTATCCTCTTGATGATTCATGGTTTTGTTTATTGTGCTGAGCACGAGTCAAATATAATTTGACATTTATATTCCCCTATGCCACCTCTCTAAGCATGCGGGTATTTATTTCATTTTCATTAACTCTAAATGGTTCCTCCGTTCTGTCAGAGTGAATCTAGCTATCTACACTTGCCATTAAAAGGATGTTTCCACATCTGGCATGTAATATTTGAAGGTGTTTTGGGGAAGAGAGGTGTGTTAGTTCTCTCTGACAGTGACACTGTTTCATTTCTACACGCAAGCCACACTAAGGAATTTTCTTCTAGAACCTCTGTTTACCAACACTGGCTCTAAATAAGCAAAATAAGCTCCTGTAGTCGAAGTTTTTCAGGCAGGAGCAGAGAAGGCACTTCCTGTGTCATATTCCTGGCCTCATTTCTGCACATTACTATCAGTGTGGCTGCAGTCTCACCTCGGCAATCACAAATGCCAATTAGACCTTTCACGAAAGGCTAATGGACAAATGGCAAAGCGCACAGCTGACCATATTGGACGATCTAATTTCACATATTCTCTCAATATTATTCTTTTTCTCAGTAACATGATAGGTTCACACTGACCTGATCCGGCAGCCTCTGAACATCCCAGTGTCTACAAGGTATGGGCAAACCAAGGTTGTTTTAATTCCGTCCTTTTCAGCAGCCTTTAGCTCGTGACTCAGGGATTCATGAAAACCCACAACTCCAAATTTACTGGCACAATAATCCTAAATTGGAGGGCAGAGAAGAGAAACACTAAGCAGATACACAGATGCCATTCCGCTTGCAGCTTCCCTGACCCGTTGTGGGTGGATGTTTAAAACAAAACCTTACAGGTAACTAAGTGCAAAAAGGGAAACCATTTTAAAAGACAGATATCTGATGTGGTTCAGAGCAGGAATAATATTTTCAGAGCAATAGCAGAAACAGAGGAACACTTTGGCCACATCAACTGAGTTTCATATTACTTTGGGAGGCCATCACAAAGGATTCTGTGAGAGCTAACAAGCTGAAATTAAAAATGGGGAGAGGTTCACTTTGAAGGGTCTGGAAAATTTACAAATGGCCTATTGTTCAGCAAAGGGGACTGACTGCACAAGCCAGTTTGGCTAAATTGATGCAAGGAGAACAAAGATAGACCTAGTTAACTTCTAAGCTAGGAGCTGACTCTTTTTAGGGTGAAATCAAAAGGAAAAGGTAACTGTACCTTGCAAACTTGAATTAAGGACACATATATGGGCAAAAAGTCTTTGCCCATGATCCATTTTCAATTTGGGAATGGAAATTTGAGCACAGAAGCTACCTATTCCATGTTCCCAGGCATACTTGCAAGGAGTGACATTTTCCATTTGACAAACATCCATAGGACAAGCAAAAAAGAACATATTCTGAAGCAAATTTCATAATCTGAGAATAAAGAAGAGTTTGACAAAATCCAGTTCTACAACTCTACACTGCAGGACACCTGACGTGGGCTATAACTACTTCAATTGATGAACTAATGGGAGATATAGCTCACTTTTGGCAAGTTGATCAAAACAGAATGTAAAGCTTTGGCCTTATTTATATGCTCCCTAAGGAAATGACAGGACCCTCTCTGGTCCCATTCTTGACCCTGTTACCAAGCAGAGCTGCTAGTAAAAATGGGGCTTACCAAGGACTGACCCACCTTCTCCTGATGCTGTTTTGTTAAACTAGCTAAGTGCTTTTATGGCAGAAGAAGTGGAATTCTACTTTAACAATTACTGGGGAGCATCCTCAACACAGGCAGAGCCCTCTCAGGAATGCACAGGCAGCAGGTACGCTCCATGGGTTCTGGTATGTTCACCACAATATAAACCAACTGAGTGAAGTAAATGCTTAGTGTCTGACAAACCTCAACTCCAGCAGTACTGAATAATCCCAGGGAACTTGCAACTGTCACAATATGACCATGATTAATCTCCAGCATTGTAGGAAGAAAAGCCTTAGTGGTCTGAAAAAAAGTAAGAATTAAGCTTTAGAAAATGATATCATGGGAATCATTTAGAATTCAGTCCAAGATAAAAAAACTGACTTTTATTTCTCAATGGTATGCTTCCTAATTCATTAAAAAATACATTACATTCATCCAAAATAGAAGATCCTTTAAGTAGTTACTTAACTTAGCACCATATCATTGGCAAGTCAGGCCTGTTATAAGCTGTGACTAACAAGACAGTAACACAAGAGTTTCTGAGAACAATGTCCAGAGATGAAAAGAAAGCCATTAGTAGGAGGCTCTTTAGCACCTTTCAAGTGGGTTATCTACTAATCTAAACTACTCCCAGGTCAGATCTTCTCCTGCTCTGGTCACTGTGGTGCAGTTATCTCCTGGTCTGTGAGAGATCTTGTGTCTGTCCAGGAACAGGTAACTGACATTAACATTACCTATGATGATGCCTAAGCAGTAACAGGCCCATGAATGAAGTGATACTCCAGCGTCACGCTCCAGCATTCAAAGCTTTACTGCCAAAGTACATTAATAGGAAGTGTTTTAGGATGCCAAGAAATAGCAACAGTGCAGAGCTCTAGTAATGAAAATGTTGACACAATGCCAGCTCTGCACTGACAAGAGCTGGTATTATTCTGAAGGCTCCCCTGCACTGTGGGGCTCACTGCAGTGACTCTCCCATGGAGGCAGGAGACTAGCCATTTGGGGGAAAGTGTGTGGAGAAGTTCCAGGTGGTGAACCCAGATGCAACACTGATTTTTTTTTTAACTCACTAAATTCCTCCCTGCCTTCCAGGCAACAACTCAGCTATCCTGCCTTCAAAATGCAAGGCTGTATAAGAAAATTACTTCAAATTGCTTAAGATGATCTATTAACTACTCTACCATGCTCCCAACAGTTTTATAACCTACTTCTTAAAAGAAAGCAGCAAAGAGCAATTTGCAGCTGAGTTACAGCCAGCTGCCAACACAGCTTCCCATGATTTATGAAGTTAAAAAACAAAACAAAACACGACACTGTAGAATTAAAGAGCTGCATTCCCTCCCAGAGGATTTCCGGGCTTTATAAAGGCATCCCTGAGGTTTTGCACGAATATCCAATTTGTCACAATGCAGAAGCCAATGTACAACATCAAAAGGAAGAGTTCTATTAATTCTGAAGTTTTTCCCTGCTCTAGCGCATGATGCATAGCTGCCAGATGAATCTCTGGGAAGTACTCTGCGTCTTCCTTGGCCTGTCTCCTGGGTCACCACACAGCATCCCTGCAGTCACTCACACCCTGCTCATCTCAGGCACTTACTGGTACGTAACTCATCAGGCTTAGACCCACCTATGCATTTTTTAACCTAGAAACTCTCTTTGATAGTCCACACCCTCCAGGCACAGGTTTGAGTCCTTGCTGCTCCATTTTCAATCTAGCTCCCTTTTAATGTGCAAGGTAAAGTAGTGGAAAGTGGCTCAGGTACCTGAGCCCCTGCATCCACAGTGGGAGATCCAGAAGAAGCTTGAGGTTCCTGGTTTCAGCCTGTCCCAGCCCCAGCCGTTGAGGTCACTTGGGGAGTGAACCAGTATAAGATCTCTCTCTCTCCCCCTCTCTCTTTCTCGCTCTGTGTAACAACTCTGACTTTCAAATACATACATCTTTAAGAAAGTCTTCTTTTAAGTATCTGGCTAAGATTACTATAAGATTAGCTAAAATCCATTACTCTTGATGTTAACCTGAGGTAATTTCCTAAATGTGGATATTCTTCAACTTACAATGATGGTAATACATCCTGACAAGTCTGTCTTGAGTTAAAAATATTGTAAACCGACTGCATTAACATTCCTGGCCTGTGATCATATCTGATTCTAGTCAACTGTGCTGAGAACATTTACATTAGGGTACTGGGCCATGTGTCACTAGCCTGGGAAAAATTCAGAGTATGGTTTCTACTGAAGGTGTCACAGTACTTTTGCATGCTCTTAAAGTGAGCCATTTTGTCAGGGTCTGCCTCCTCTCTGAAATCTACTCAACAGTTCTTGAGCATCCATTATATATAGGTTACAGGTAGTGCTTCGTAAGAGGTGACTCCATTCTCATCTCTCAGCAGCTTCTCCACTCTCCCACATCCAAGTGAGTTAAGCCAGTGCATCCTTCACATAAGAATGGCACTTCAGTTATAGGTTCTAAACATGATTTGAGCCTGCTTCCCACCATGTGTTCCTGCATCCCAAAGTTGTTTAGAAGGTAGTTAAGCCACTAGTTTTATACTGCAATTACTACAATGACGCCACCAACAACACACAAGCTGATGAAGGTGCTGGAAGGTTATTTTATCAGTCTCGGAACCCAGACTGCTGTTTTCCAAGGTTTATGCACAATACTTGCTGTGCTCTGGCTGTGCCAGGGCCAAGGCAAGCATGACATGAGAACATCCACGTGAGCACCACGGAGCTCTCCCTGTGACCTGTGCCCAGGGTTCCCACAGGAATCTTGTACACATGACTAAGGCTGTTAATCATTTCCTCTGCTGCCTGAACGGAGGTGAGCAGTGACTGCTTGTGTGACATTTTCACAAACTCCTGCCTTGGGGCTATAGAGCATTATTAAACAAACTTTGATCAACACTAATTCCATTTCTAACTTTGCAAGGGGGAAAAAAAAAAAACAAACACGCTATAAATGGGTAACTAGAAAGCATCATATTTTCAGGGATTTTCCCAAGTAACCTGACTAGTTTTCCTTTCTAATTAGTCTTGCCCTTAGCAGTCTGGTAGATGACATCTGAGATACCACAGCATATTCTGTCCTTGACACAGCCTGACAGCACAAAGAAATCTGGCACGTTGCAATGAATTATTAATGTGCACAAATATTGTAGCATGTATGAGCTGGGGACCAGCAAAAGGTGAAGTGCTAGTTGCCATGACACCAGTCAGTTCAAGCTAAGGTTCATGATCTTTAACTTTGTCTCAGAGAGTCATTAGATGAACATTAAGGGCAAATCTGAAATGCATAGCCAGAAGGCACAAGTAGAAATTCACGTGTGTTTGGCTGTGGGTGGATCTGAGAGGGCTAACTCAGAAAACCCACCAACCAACAGGACTGTGTGTTATATCAACTTTAAGGATGAATGAGCAGGAGTCACTAACTCCTGATGCTCCAGGCAATACATTAAATCAGCCTCCCAGAACTGGTTGGTGCCAAGGTGGTGGGCAAGGTCTTCACGAAAATACACCTGACCAGAGACACCTGAGCCAGGAGACTTTAGAGGGCTTAGTAAGAGATTTTGTTGGGGTAAGCCTTATGGTGTAGCAAGTTGGATGCCAGCATCCCAGTATTGGTGCCAGTTTGAGCCCCAGCAGCTCCACTTTTTAAAAAAAAGATTATTATTATTGGAAAGGCAGATTTTTACACAGAGAAGGAGAGACAGAGAGAAACTAGTGGCTGCAATAGCCAGAGCTGAGCTGATCTGAAGCGAAGAGCCTCTTCTGGGTCTCCCACGTGGATGCAGGGTCCCAAGCTTTGGGTCATCATTGGCTGCTTTCCCAGGCCACAAGCAGGGAGCTGGATGGGAAGGAGAGCAGCTGGTACACAAATCAGTACCCATATGGGATCCCAGCGCTTGCAAGGTAAGGATTATTAGGCAATCGGGCCATTGTGCTGGGTCTAGATCCACTTTCAATCTAGCCCCCTGCTAGTGTGCCTGAGAAAGGAGAGGAAGATAGCCCAGTGCTTGGGCCTCTGCTACCCACACCCACACAGGAAACTCAGGTGAAGTTCCTAGCACCCCCCCAGCTTTGATGTGGCTCAGCTAAAAAAGTTCTGGCTGTTTGGGGAGTGAACCAGTGAATGGAAGATATCTCTCTCACTCTCTGAATTCAATCTTTCAAATAAATAAATCTGAGAAAAAGAGAGAAATACTTTCTTACTTGCAAAAGAAAAAACTGACTTAGCATGCAATATTGAGCTAGATCTCAGATTGTGAATAAAACTAATAGTGTAATTGCCCACTCAAATGGACACTAACATTCCTAGGAAACATGTTTAACCAATTGAGTATCTCCACACAGCTCCTCGGGGTTCCTCTTCAAAGCACCCAGCACTTTGAAAGATAACTGTAAAGGTCACATTTATAGTATCAGCAGGAATTTCTGAAACAGAAGTGCAAGTGACTACACACAGACATGACATGTCACAGCTCGAGAAATCTTTGAAAGTTAGGTTCACGCCAAATTAACTTCCAACAGTTCTGACTTCCAGATCATTCTTGGTGCTCTTAATGACAGACTGGCCTGTGTGAAGCCTGCAGCTGCAGTGTCAGGACAAATTAGCCTATAGTTAAACAAAAGAGAATGTGAACAAACTAGTGTCTGACAAAGTCTGAGTTTGGAAATTTTGAGATGCATGACATCTTAATGGTGTAGGTAAAACCCCAGGAATGCATTTTCCATATTTGTAAGTAATCCCAGGTTTACAAGACACTATAGGAGAAGCAAAGTGAATCTTCTAGTAGGAAAAGATTTTATACTTTAGTTTTGTGCATTGGAACAACTTTTCTATTACCAATTCAAGAAAAAGCATCATTTACAAGAATCATTTATCTCCTATTCAAGTGTCCAACAATAAAAGCAGACATTAATTTCCAGACATGACCGAGAATTGTGCTGGGAAAAGGATTAACCCCACTAACACAGCGTGGTACAGCTTTCTGACCTAAGTTTGATGGTTTTCAGCACCTCCAAATAACATTGCTATATACAATTTGAAACAATGAATAGTCAAGAAGACACTGGCGAATGAGGTACATCTAACTGGAAAAGGCTGTAGCATCCCTCTAAACTGTAAGAGAATTTTTCTTTGGCATCTTGCTCCTTCTGCCTGTGTTGCTACCAGAATAACTTATCAGATCACAAAAGAAGAATTTTGTGCTTATTTACAAGGTTAAAATGACATCAGGTGGCTCTCTTCTCTGAGAACTCAGTCATGGTTGCTGGCAAACTCAGACTTCACTGTACAA